CTGCAAATCACAGATCTAGCAATTTATCACTTTTCTAAGCCTCGATTGCTGAGGAAGATAACATCAGGTAACATCAGGTGACATCAGATAGCATCAGAACCTCACCAGTATGGGGTCGGTTTCCGTCATCTGGTAATCGAGTGGTTGCAAACTTAATCTCGAAGCGCTTTCAGCCTCTCCGCAACTGCTTTTTATGATCGGCCCGGCTCCCAGACAGAGGTCAATGCAGACACGCGCGCGTACCGGGGTCGGGGGATACCTGTAGCTGGCTCTAGTTGCTAGACTGTAGGCCAACTCGCTGGCTGTCGGGTCGGAGTCCAAACTGAGGTTCAGGCTGAAATAGAGGAAACGAAACGATGTTATGCTGAAGGGATTCCGTGCCGCATGACCCAGAACCTGCGAAGGGAGGAAAGGAGCCACAAAAGAGCCCAAATCTGTTGCCAAAACGTTTAGGCCTGGCATCTGGTCTCCGGCCAGAGTTTGACTAATTGCTTCTTTTGGTACTGACGAATCTGTTCAAACGACTCCGGAACGCATTATGACTGAATGGGCTCGGAAAATGTCTTTAAATGCAGAAAAGAGCCATGTACACATTAGGTTGCTTAAGGTAATGTCAAGACTTATGATTCAGGTTATCACAATAAGCTGAATAGAAGGACGCCAATAATGCCACAGTTTTTTAAATGGCTCTGCTTCCACAAGGCCTGCTAATCTGGGCAGGATTGCAATTTCTGCAATTTCTGCAATTTACGGGATCCACTGGAAAATAGGCGTATATGACACCTTGCCATTAACCGTTACGACACTTTAAGCTAACTCAGATGGCTTTTGAACATTTTGAAAACTACTTATTAATTACATAGTAGTGTTTATGGTTTTAGTGGCATTATTGATAGGTCCATGAAAGAAGTGAAGCCTTTTGGGAGGCAGAAATGAATTTAATTCAGTGACTTGGTGAATAATCTCACTTTGTCCACTGTGGGAACTTCAAATATGCCGATTCAGAATCTCATTCAGTATCATGTCATTGCTTGCCTGTTCAACTGAAGCTGCTGCCACAAATGATGCTTTCCAATCCAGGCCTGGCTTCCTGAGGCCTGTGCGTCGGTGATGCGCAGCGTTGCATGGGCGCCGGTCGCCAGAAGCCGGACAACGGGACGAGCTTCAGTCAGAGCCACACACCTTACCAGATCTACTTTTTCTGAGCTATCCTCTATCTTGTCGGCTGGTCAGTGAAAGAATCGTTAGGGTATAGGTCGAGGAAGGGAGGGTAGGGAGTAGAGAGGACTTCAAAAGAAATGGTAACCAATGCCAAAATATTTCTCCCACCGAGAGAAGCGAAACTATGCTCTGTCCGGCTATAGCATCAAGACATGTCGGTGATAAGGAATGTCGTAAATAGGCCATCATAAGAGTAACTTGAAATTTGCACTTATTCAATATAATTGGTAGTTTCGAAACCTACTCATTAGAAAATGAATGATGAAATCGATTATCCTAGCAAATATAAGTTTGCTCAAGCGACAACCCTAGTAACGACGTGATATAGGAGGCCTGGTCTGCCTTGAAATTCACGTATGTCCTGTGACCCACTGACACTCGCGGCAGTGTGGCGTTGTGGTAACATGTCAAAATTATTGGCCGCCCTGCTCGGGCTCGATTCCAGTTGGGGATGACGATGAAACGCAAGTGAGGCACAAAGTGCAGTCGAGCCTGGATAATAATAACTTTTCGGAAGCAAAGCTAAGTAAAAGTAAATAGAAGTATGATTGTATAAAAATGCAACCTTCATTTTTTCATCCACTTCTGCGACCTAGGGTGAAAACAGCCTAGATTCAAGTTAGAAATATGCTAAATACAAATAAAGATTAGGCTAAGCCCGAGGGCCGCATTTCTAAACAGTTAAGTACACATTTGGCCTCGTCGACTCTTGCTCAAATTCACATTACTGTAGGCTCTATTCTCTACAGACCTTTAGACTGTATCTCGCCGTCCAACTATGAAGAGCCTCGGAATGGCAGGAATAGTGAATCGGATGACACAAAAGCCCGAGAATTAGCCTCATATAATTGAGGACCATGTGTTTTCGCGCAGCCAGATCAACGGTGAGATGATCCACGAGAAGTTGGACAGCCAGCATTCCTGGCTTTGGCGGTGGGACTCAACCCACCGACTGCCGGCTTCAGACCGCTTCAATACGAAACGGATGGTGTTAGGACAATAACTATCCGATGTTGATTTATTCCCGAGATCCAGTAACCTAACAGCCCGTTGTTTCGACAGCACTTTTAAATTGAAATCACATCAATAAATACGAAGTCCCATGTCTCACGTTCAACTCTTGTAAGAGGAGCTGATTCGGCTCAGCTTAAGCCTAAACAGATAGAAAGCTTAAGTCAACTTATATATGAGTTGTGTTTACCCTATTTCGTTTAAGGTGACGAAGAAGCGATAGTCGGTTTTTTTCCACAATGATATGAGTAGAGCTGATGTTTTCCATTCAATTGAAAAATCAACTACCAGTCTTTCATCACCTTAAACGAAATAGAGTGAACACAACTCATATATCTGATTTACTGGTAGTCTCGACAACCTACCCATTTACGAAACAGGACACCTTAATTCCTCCCCAGTAGATCAACCATCACTAATTTATGCGAAGGATAGTTGGGTTTTGAGGAATCTCTTGCTTCCTAATTGTTGAGCTTACTACCATTTCGAGTGAAAGTGTTGGGGTA